ACTGTGGGTTTCTAGATGCAATTGGTACATTTATAGTGAACCCTTATACCAAAGGCTCCAGGAACATCGCATAAAAGCAAAAGGAAAATTATAGAATTCAGACACCTGAGATACCTGCTGCTAAACTGATTTCTAGACATGTTAAGGATGTAGTACCCAGAAATACCACCGATAGAATTATCAAGTCAAGAGTGGCATTATTACAGTTGACATGCCAACCTGAATGTGGGAAATTTCACAAGGACCCAAATGAAGAGCTACACTCAATCAATGGCTCCTGAGAAGGAAAATAAGACTTTTCAGGGATGAATTGACTTATAAATTATCCACTATCATGTTGGCAGCTCTAGATACATGTTCACACAAGCAACATTAAAGGGAGTAGGTTTTATTTATGCATATATATGTTTATTTGTACATATAAATATATGTAACAAAAAATTTAAAAGAATCGGGTTACAAATTTCAGAGTGATTGAAGAGGATTCCTGTGAGGAGTTAGAGGGGGTGAAGGAAAGGTGGATGATGTAAACATAGTGGGTGTGGTGACACAAACCTTTAATCCCAGAACTCAGGAAGTAGAGGGAGGTAGATATTTGTGAAATTAAGGCTAGCCTTGGCTACATGTCAAGTTCAGGCCAATTGACCCTAAAGGGAGAAATTGTTTCAATAAAAAAGCAACAAAAGAAATCAAAAAATTAAAAAATAGTAAAACATACTACTTTCTATGGCATTGATATGGGGTACAGCCTATCTATGAAAGAGACTAACAAGCTGTGGGAATACAATACATATTTAGAATATTTAGATAAACTGGTTGGCAATTTTGAATTTGTGAACCGTTGTTAAATTACTAACTTCCAAAAGAAACAGTTTTCACTTGTTTTTAAACACTAAGAAAGCTTTTCGAAAAAAGATAATTTTACAGCATTAATCTTCTACCTATTTCAGAAAGCATTATGCAGATTGAAGTAATTTTGGTAGTAACTATGACAAGTACTTATCAAGAAATCTTAGAAAACAGTATAGGCTTCTGCCACTGCTTTTTGTTGCCTACCAGAACAAGATGGTAAGACACTATTGCTGAAGACATCACAGATTTTGTTCATAGAACACAGAAAATTCAACCTCCTGGAACTGAATTCTAATCTTACTCCTTATTGGTTAGAATAAATAGAGTTTGAAATGGCTATGCAGGCTGTGGGGGGTAGAAATCTCATCAAGAGATTTCCCAACTGTAAACCCTCCCTGCTAAATTGCCAAAGTGATGGACACCATGTGCTCTCTGATATAATAGTGGCATGGCTCTTTCGATGATAAGCAATTCCTTTCATATTATACTTGATCTAATAGAGAGGACCCATGCCTGGTATTGTACATCTGGACAAAAAACAATGGCTTGGGAGATCATAGGTCCTAGGAAGGAAACTACTACTATTGTTTTGCTAAATGGACTTGCAATAAAGTTGTCTTCTCAATATATATGTTTGTGTCCACAGACTTTATATTCCTTTTTGTAATGGGTGACTGCTAATGAAAACATATACCCAGTCAATATACTGAGAATAAGTGACTGCTGAATGCCAAGGTCAGGAAACATTGCAGAAGAGGGCTGAGAAAGAATGTAAGAGCCAGAGGATATGGCGGAGTGCTATGAAACAATGCAATCAAGATAAGGCCATTGCAATTAAGTACTCACAAGAGCTTAGGCATCCTTGGGTCTTTCAACTTTCCATCATTCATGTGGGTGGTGCTCATGAGGCCCCACAACTTTTTGAGAACAGCATCAGTTAATGATTGCCAGGGAGGGAGTTTGTTTTTCCTTGGTGTAGCAACTGCTAAGTTACCCATTATTCATCAAATTACTCTTTGCTTATGCTCATGTAAGCAGCCATAATTAACTTCACAAGTCAAGAGAGAAAAGGTGGCATATATCCTTGAAACAGATTAGCTGGGATGAAGATGAGCATCAGCACTCCTCTCAGGAAGGCGATAAAATAGGGTAATGGGTTTTAAATATAGTAGTATTTTATATTATGTACATATACATATATGAAATTTTCAAAAAAAAGAGGGGACCGGAGAGATGGTCCAGCACTTTAAGATCTCTGACACGTCTTGCAGAGAATCTGGGCTCAGTCTCCAGTACCCAAGTGGTGGCTAAAAAACATTCTTTACTCCAATTCTAGGGGATCCAACATAATCATCTGATCTCTGTAGCATTGTATAACATGGGTGAACTTACACAGATGCAATGAAAACACTCATACATAAAATAGGTATAAGTAAATACATAATTTTTTAAAAGAAAGCAACTTATCAAAAGATAGTAACCATGGAAAATGAAACCTATTTCATAAAATACTTTAAATAGAAGATAATTCAAACTTTAATTGTAGTATATGTACATACATTTTAACTCATTCAGTTTTGTGTCTTACAGGGCTTATACTGATTTCAATATTTTATAACTGTATTAATTCAACTGTGAACCTAAAAATTTACAACCACTTTTGAAAGAGATGTATTCTTGCTCTGGAGTCTGTTACTGAATATGTTAAAGCTGTAATGAAATACTTCTAAAATAAAATAAATAAAATAAAGGAAGGAAAAAAATAAATAGGATGTTAGTACTATGATCAAATTTGAAGTATGCATCAAAACATCCACTCAGTTTCACATCTTTGCTTTTGGGTGTTTCTTGTACTGTGTAAAAACAAAAGATTGTCAATCTTTAGTTCATGAATTGAGTTTCATACAACTTTCAAATATAAAAGTAATGAGATACAACACACTGAAATAGTAGACCAGAGGTACTTGATATGTTTCAGAATGTTATAACTTTTAAATGTATTGTGCATCCACACATGAGAAGCATTATCACACACATATTTTTTGATACATTTGCAACATTTCAATTAAAACTATGCACGTCCTTAATCCCAGCACTCAGGATGCAGAGGCAAGTGGATCTCTGTGAGTTCAAGACCAGCCTGGTCTACATACTGAGTTCCAGGACACCTGGGGCTACAGGGAAACCTTGTCTCAAAAAGACAAAAAAAAATCTATGCAAATCAAGCACTGAATTTTCTCATAGGCTTAGAAAACATTCATTTCACAGCATGCAGTGGTAAGTATATGAGTTTTTATTACATGCAGAAAGCTACAAAGCAATGTAGATGAAGCGACATGATTTTTTCCATATGTCACAGGCAGACATACATTCACAATTATTGATTGAGAAGATGCACATGAGCATCAGAAACTGTCACAGTG